AATCTCCCCTTTTTTCTTCTTTACAATAATTTTTAAGGCATTCCAGGAGCGAGGGGGATCGTCTCCTGCCGGCCCCTTACCCCAGTCCGCGCCGAAACCTACCGAAACCGACCGCTCGGTGAAATAAACTAGGTAGCACGGCCGGCGCACTGGCGACCCTGGGCCGGGCAGACCCCCTCCCCACGGATCCGGCCCGGCTTGGAAACACACACTAGCGAGCAGGCGGCGCCAAGAGCTCTCCTTCCTGGCCTGCCCCTCGCCTCCCTCGGCCGCCAGACTCCGAGTCTCCCCTAGCTCCGTCCCAGGGCCCGCGACGCCTGCACCATGGCGGACCGGTCAAAGCGACCGGCCGGCGAGCTAGCCCCCCAAACGCCAGAGATTGGGGAGACCAAATTAAAAGCAGCTGTTTAACATACCTTCCGAGCCAGGCGAGGAGTCCTGAATGGGGGGGAACGCCCCCCACGGGCTATTGGCTCCCCGGTGCTCGCGTCAGTCATCCTAGGCCCGCCTCCTCCTCTCGCTCCACCTCTTCCCCTTCATTGAAAGCCCCCCTCCCTCCAAAAAAAATATAAATAAATAAATTAAACTAGCCGTGAGTGGGAGGTGCATCCGTGGCAGAGGCCCCTATCTCTACCGCACCGCCGCTTGGAGTTTCTTGAGGCCCTTGGACTGAAAGGAGACCTACTAGACTCAGAGATCCGCTGGGTGGACCCGGAGGAGGAGCTAGCGGGACTACCCGGCCCCCACTTCCTTTACACACACACCCCATTTGGAGCTGGGCAGGAGGAGGCGGGTAGGGACACCCTAGCGACTGACTGGAATGTCCCGACTCCCCTGGCTGTGCAACCTAACCGGGTCCGACCCATTCTGTTAGGTGCCTGCCCAAAAATGAGCGGTACAAGCGGGAAGTCCTGCGTTCGGGGCTACAGGCACTTGCCTGAGCACCTACTGAGGTGAGGCAGACACATTCATACTGCACCTGCTACTTGGGTGTGATTACAGAGATTGAATGAAATGCTTACTCTGTACCTTCCAAGAGCGCCAGACTTCGCTGAGGAGATGCTACAGAAAGAGCTAAGACAAGGTGGTAATGTATGTATACATAGACATCCATAGGGGCTCAGAGCAGGGAGATTCTTTCCAGCTGAGGAAAACTGGGAAAGTCTTCATGGAGGACGTGGCACTCAAGTTGTGTCTTAAAGATTTCATCAGGCAGAAATCGACAGGCAAGTCATTTTCAGCAAAGGACACAAAGAGGTAAAAGCAAAACATTGCTAAGAACCTCTTCAAGTGTGGCTGTACTAATGAAAATCAGGGCTGGAAAGATGGAGCCAAAGAGCAGAAGATTTTACTACCTTGTTAAAACCCTTAGATCTGCACAGCAGGATATGCTAGCAGCATGGTCAGTCAAAAGACCCAGGCCCAGAACTATGGTTTAAGATGCTCAACTTCCTAGCAGCTGGATGGATTCTGTGGGTGGGCTGAATGAGGGATGCCTACAGGCAGCAAGGTGACACAGAAAGGCTGTTGTAATAATGAGTTTGGAGATTACAGAGGTACATCTTCTGGTGGGAGGGGTAGGTGGAGGGAGCCCAGAGGTTTCTTCTTTCTTTTCCAACCACCCAATCCAGAAACACTTCCCTATCTTCAGCAGCCCTCAAGTCAAAACTCTCAGATGCTTCCCTGAATCATTTGCAGAGTTTTTGTCATAACTGTCCACCAAAGGGAATTTGGGAGTGAGGGGTGGGCAGAGGGTACCCCACATGTCTGTGCTCAACAGAGCTGAGCTTGGG